TGACTGTGTATTGGGCTTGGATATTAAGAAGAGGCCCAAGTAAAAGAAGCCTGTCTAAAGTTTAAAGGACACTGTTGTGCTTGGATTTAATTTTCCTGAATGTAAATTATTATTACTAAACTTTGTGAGTTTGTTTGGATTTGCGTTTTAATTCTGCTTCGCTGCTAAATGAATTCATTTGCCTATATTTCAATTGGACATAAATAAAATTTGATTGGATGAAAAAATTGTAATAAAATATAAAAGGGAATGTACAGTGGTCATATGGGATGCAATTGAGACTTAAATCATTATTTAAGATAGAGAATTTATATAATGAGGTTGTATGCAATATATGAAGCATCATACATATTCATGAAAGAATAATTTGGGTTTCTCATTTATTCGCTCTTCTACCCAAGAATTTATTCATTCGAGAATTATTAAGAGAATCTATCTAAGAATTTACGCCAAATCATGTTCATTGAAAAAAAGAAATATTTACTCTATACCACAAATTAATTATTTTTTTATAAAAAGATGCATGAAACCTAAGCTATAATTCTAATGATGATCATTTTTCCTTTCTTTTTTTCTCCCTTTTTCTTTTAAACTAACAACAAATCGCTATTCCCATTGTGAACCGAATGATTAATTAAGTCATTAATCATTACACAATAACTCGAAAACAACGCAATCAAATAAATAAACATAACACAATTATGCAGATATGACCAATACCAAATTAATAATACACGGACAATATGAATAGTATAAGTTTTAGAGCACAAATTCTTAAATGTACCAAATTAATAATACACGGACAATATGAATACTCGTGCATAAGGTTTAGAGCACAAATTCTTAAACGAGATACTTAATTTAGGCGGAGACTCATCATACTTATCTCACAAAAAAAATATTATGCTATAAAATGTTATTATTTTGTTTATATTATTTTTTAGAGTATAATATTTTAGTTTGAAAGTATGTAAATTTATTGAAAAAATTTAGTAGCCTAACAGTAATTTTACTGTTTTTAGATATGTGGAGAAGCCCCAGAAACCTAAGAACACCTTTTCTTTCACTGTCCAAGATCACAGATAATCTGGAAGCTTGCACCTATCTCTTGGGATGACTTGATCACAGAGACAGATGATTTCAAAGCTTGGTGGTTCAAAATATGCTCTCTTAGCTCCATAAAATACTCTGGTCCAAGAATGCAACTCACTGCTTACTTGTTGTGGGAAATATGGAAGTCAAGGAACCACTGAGTTTTTAAAGGCAAGCTTAGATCTGAAATGTCTGTGGTAGCTGCTGCTGTGCAGGGAGAGCTCTAATGTCTGATTCATTTCCTTTAGTCCAGTAGTTAGGTTCTTTGTTTTTATGCTTTTCTTTTTCCTGTTTTTCTTAGGTGGCAGTTTACTAGGATCTTTGATCAGTGGTAAATTGTCTTTTGTTACCTCATTTTGATGTATATTTGTTTGAGGTTGGGGTTAAAAAACAAACTCCAGGTGCTGTGTTTTGCCACTACTGGAGTAAGTTCTTTTAACCCTAGGGGTCTTTGGTTTTTGGGTTAAGATCATCTGCATGGTGATTCTTCTTGCTGTATATAATGGCTTGTTAGCCTTGAACGGTTGTACATTTGTTTTCGGTTGAGCTATAAATCCTATCGTTTCGAAAAAAAAAAGAGAGGGATAGGAAATGGATTATTGACTTTTAGAGAACCTCAACTGCATCTATTATTAATGGGGCATGCACTACAAATATAAAAATTTAACATAAATATTCATTTTAACATAATTTTGATTAATTGGATTTATATTTTTGATATTAATAATAATAAATTTTAATTTATAATATTATCAATTTTAACTTCTAACATAATATTTTCTAAATTCTAATATAATAATAATAAATTTAAATTTATAAGACAATAAATTCTAACTTATAACATAATAATTTCCAACATAATGTTGTTCATAAATAAAATTCCATCTTGTGTAGCCCGACAAAAATGACCAAGAAGATGAAATGTACCTACATACATGTGTGCTCTTCAAATTATTGTTGTGTTGGTCCTTGGCAGGTAGGTGCAAATCAAATGAATTGTGAAAAAACGAGGGAAAGGTCCCACCAACCTCTCTCTCTCTCTCTCTCTCTCTCTAGAGAGAGAGTCCGAGGCCCACGAGAATTCATATTCCATTAGAAGACGTTACTTCAACACCAATAAATTCGGAGAAGAACAAACATTTTCTCCTTTTTGTTCTGTTATCTTATATTTCATCAATCAATCAATCAATCTAACTGAGAATCAATTAGCTGTAGCACCACCATCTTTCCAATCCACACACTGCAACGTCCATCGGAATACCGACCGCCGCCGCACTGCAGCCTCTATCAGGGTGTTAGCCGCCGCGACTTGTTCAATCTTTGGTACCTTACTGTCTTTCTTGTTCTCTGCGTTGATTTTTTTTTTTTTTGGGTGAATTATTAATTCCGTCTTCATGCGTTGAGCTGGTAACTATTTGACAATTTTACGAACCGATTCATGCTCTTGATACGCTATTTTCGTGTTTTCCTGCTTATGTTTATTTCCTCTCTGGAATATCTCATCTGCTTCGAGGTTACGCTTTCAGGAATTATATATTTGTTTCATTCTATTTCTAATTTTGTGTTCGTGTGTTCTGCCGGTAGATATTGTATTAATATAGTATTAGATCGTAAATTTAAAACTCCTCGGTCGAATTTATATTCTTGGTTCAGCTGTTTTCGTGCTCAGTGGGAAGGGAAAAGCTAGGCTGCTGTTACATTGGGATTTAGAAAGCATGCTATCGCCAATTTGTTTATATACTTAATTTGTTACTAATTCTGTTTTCGTGTATCCATCTTGCATTTTTTCGTGTTGATCGATTTTTTTATCTGGTGTTAACGTTCTTAATTCAGCTGTTTCCGAGTTTACATGAAAGAACAGTCTCGGGCATAGGTTTCTACCATCACGAGAAATATCAGCAGCTTTGAGGTTAGGGCTTTTAGGGGAGATGGCTGATAGTATGCGGAGATTATTGATTGAGACCCTAATGGAGCCCCTAAACAGGGGAGAGTCTCTTCTAGGGAGCATAAAGATTGCTGTTCTTCCAATCGCCAAGGTTTTTGCCATGTGCTTCCTGGGCTTTCTCATGGCCTCCAAGTATGTAAACATTTTACCAGCTAATGGGAGAAAGCTCTTAAATGGGGTAAGGAAACATGATGTTTGCTTAAGGTTTTAAATCTTAGGTCTAATGAGCAAAATTGTATTACTCAATCTCACTTTCATCGTAAAAATTCACACTCAGTTACCATTTTACTATGAAAATAGACATCAACTTTATCATGACTGCTCGGTTTTTGGGATGCACAAGATAAGCTATCAAACCCTTATATTACGAATTTCATACGTGACTGGATATCTGCAAGCTAAATGCTTCATGGCTTTTGTATGGTTTGATGCAGCTGGTCTTCTCACTTCTGCTCCCTTGTCTCATTTTTGCTCAACTGGGTCAAGCCATAACGTACGAGAAAATGATCGAATGGTAAGAATTGACAATATAGCTTTCGTATAAAAGGCAATAGCTGGTTTATGTGCTCAGGTGACATGTCGACATTCTCATTTCAGGTGGTTCATTCCTGTCAATGTTATTCTAGCCACAATATCAGGCTCCATTATAGGCTTTGTCGTTGCATCCATCGTCCGTCCTCCTTATCCATACTTCAAGTTTACAATTATACACATTGGAATAGGTAAGTTCTCTATGGGAGTTCTGATTAAGTGGGGCTTATACTGCCTGTCTGACCATAAGCTTGAACAATAAATAGATGTGGGGTATCACTGATTCTCAGCCTTTTAATACCCAGTCAAATTGTTTGAGCTTGTGTGCTTGTGAATCATAACATGTTATCAGCACCTAATTGAGCTACACTTCCTTTTTGAAGTTGTGTTCTTGTGTTTTATGTGTTTTATGTGGAGAATGAGCTAAGTAATAGAATTTATACCTCTTTTTTTTTAATCATAATACAGTACAGAAATGCTCTCTCAGGTAGTTTCTGGTTCTTGAGAGGCATATGATTTCACAAACTTTCATTGATTATGAGTTCTAGCATCAATGCTCTGGGCCTTCTAACACTTCTCCATTGTTCAGGGAATATCGGTAATGTGCCACTTGTCCTGATTGCGGCATTGTGTCGAGATAATTCAAATCCTTTTGGCAATACATGTTCTCAAGATGGAACTGCCTACATCTCATTTGGCCAATGGGCAAGTTAGCTACTCCCTATCAAAAAGTTCTACTGTAGACGCGTCCTACCTGAGCTAGTTCAATTTGTTATGCCTTATTTTTGTGTTTGTAATATGTATTACACTTTCTTCACTGGACTTCTAGGTACTGTGAACTATTGATAATTGTTTAAAAACACATTAGCCAAGAAAAGGTGACTACGGGACATAAATCTTCAAGAGTACGTTCGAGGAAAAAAATTACGACATTATACGAAACTCAAACAATTTTGCACATTAAGATATCTGTTCCGACCCAACTTAGTGGGATTTTAACGGCTTGTTGATTGATTGATTGAAATTAAGATATTAGTTAACTGCTAAAAAGTTTGACATGTATAAGGACACAATGTTCGAACTACTCATCATCTTCCACGTGAACTATGTCCTCCATCACCATCTTCTATTTTCATAATTTAAGCCTAGTTTTTCCTTTTTATTTATATTCTCTTCTTTTTTGTTGTATTTTGTTTTGTTATGATGATTATTGGCCTTCTGACTTTTTCTTTTCTTTTAAGGTTTAGAAATTTACTTTATTTCTATTTATGGGTTCAAGTTAAGTTTAATGTATTGGTACTTATATAATTGCTAAAAGAAACTATATGAATTCATATCTGCAACCGGAAGCCCCTAAAAATTCCCCTTGACATGGCTTGTTCACCTATGCCTTGCACTGTTTTCTGAACATTGTGTCAACATGTTTGGCGTTCCTTTTTAAACATTTTTGTTGGCCGGTATGCATAGTTAAGCCCTGCTATAGGAACTCAACAATATGTTCTTTTGCACAGGTCGGTGCAATTGTTCTGTATACCTATGTTTTTCAAATGCTTGCTCCCCCTCCTGGTGGATCGTTCGAAGTCGAAGATGGTAATCTTCCTATTAAGAATCCTCTCGGAAATAGCACTAATGCCCTTGATAGAGATAGTTCTCCTGAGCAAACTCCACTTCTTGTGGTTGAGGATGTACCTGCCCGTTCAAATGCGTTGAAGAAAGACAGAGTGAGAATATATCTTAAGTTCATCAGCGTATAATTTGAGTCTTACATCATATGATTTTATTATATCAAACTGCATATAATTTGATTGGCTGGTTTGTTTTCTGTTCACTCACTTCTTGCTGTCTTTCCAAGCAGGTCAAATACTTTCTGAAGTATATTTATGAGAAATTGAAGCTGAAGCAAATTATTCAACCTCCAATTATTGCCTCTGTAAGTATAAGTCTCTTTCGACGTTTCTTTATTTACAAATTTTGTCTAATTCATATCTTTTTTCCATTGATATGGTTATGTTTGCAACGTTTGTTGTTACATCATGAAAAATTTTGGCTTGTTGTTCTTAGCATACTCATTATTCTGCTATCTGAAATAACGAACAATTTGAAATTTCATACAGATTGTAGAATCATGTTTCTGTACATAACAAGATAAAAAGGAAGAATAATGCAGTGTCATGGTCAATGTGTGAAAATTCATAGGAAAGAAACTTTTCCATATGGATTACATGGATTTCCTTCACACAAGGGTTTTTCATTGACTAAATGTTTTCCATATGTTTCTCTATCTTAAGTTTGTTATATGTGGGTGGCTCATCTTTTTGTTGCTTTCTCCAAGTTCATGTTTACATGCACATTATGTGATCTATCCCTGTCATCCATCTGTTTCTACTCCAACTAACATTCTGGTATTCAGCTTATCAAGTTAGTAAATTGCTAGATTGAGGAACTAATTAGCATTGACGAAATCATAGAATCTTTTGCTTTCAATTATGACATATTTGCTATTCCCTATGAATATATATTTAGAAGACTGACCAATCTCCTTGTTGTTTGAATCTTTTCTACAGGTCCTTGCAATATTTATAGGATGCGTTCCTTTTCTAAGGAAATTAATCTTCACTTCGGATTCCCCCCTCTATTTTTTCACAGATAGCTGCATGATTCTTGGGTATGTTCTACCTATGTATAATAATTACTTGTTTATTCCTTGCGAAACTGCTGTTTTGATCATTTCGTATTTTTGGTTAGAATGTAAGAAATTCCTAGTTAAAAAATTGTGAAGGGAAATCAAGATTTGTAGCGTTGTTTCCTGATTAACATTCAAACTACACTTCTTGGTAAACTGGCAGCACAAAGATATATCATTTATATCAATAACGTGCTTCACTAAGAGAAGAATACTATTGTGCATACTTTTTATAATCAGACTTCAAATGGCTTTAACTTCGTTCAAGTAGATTAAAAAACACCAATATCGTCTCTACTTGTATTTCATGACAAATGCCTATAATCAGTTGATCACTTTCTGACAAAATATTTCATCTCAGTGAGGCCATGATTCCATGCATATTGTTGGCTCTAGGAGGCAACCTCGTAGACGGTAAGTAAATGTAAAACCCAGGAGAAAAAGTTCCCTCAATCCCATACGCATTAGTCCTACGAATAATACAATGTAAGTTGCTAAACATAAAATTTCATACAGGGCCCGGCCCAGGTAGCGCAAAAATCGGTGCACGGACAACTGCAGCAATTGTATTCGCGCGGCTCGTTTTAGTACCTCCAACAGGTCTAGGCATTGTTACATTGGCAGATAAGCTCGGGTTCTTGCCTCCGGGTGATAAGATGTTCAGATTTGTGCTTCTGCTTCAGCACACCATGCCAACTTCCGTGCTTTCAGGTTTTCTTTTTTTTTTTTTTAATTTTTTTTTTCGTTTGACGCAACAAATGAGAGGCTGGATCAGGATTCTGGATTTTGAAAACCCATTTTGCATTTGATTTAATGTATTCATTACAGGTGCCGTTGCAAGTCTACGAGGATGTGGGAAAGAGGCTGCATCTGTGTTATTCTGGGTTCATATTTTTGCTGTTTTCTCCATGGCTGGGTGGATCATTCTTTACCTCAACATACTGTTTTAGGATTTGTGTACTTAGAGACTCCAAAATACAAGAAGTCTGGTGTGCTTTTCCACTGTGATTGGAGAACCTAAGCAAAGATTAGTTGCTCCTTGCTGATTCCTGTCTGGGTGCGCTTATGTGAGGCTGTTTTGAGCCCGGGACCATGAGCACACATGTATCAATAATATGTATTTGAGAAAAAGGAAAAGTAGAAACAAATTATTGTTTCAGTACACATTTCCTTCTGTATTGCCTAATCAAGTTCTGATTCGTCCATTAGCTTTGTTGATTAATCTTCCACTAACCCAATAAATTATTTGATGTAAAATCAATAACACAGTGTATGAGAATTCAACAAACGTAACATGATATTATATATATATATATATAGACAACACAAACTCACTCCAAGAGTTACTCGAGGGAGACAGAATTATTCTCTCACTTCGTTGGCTATCAAGTTGAGTTTACAAAGGCCAACAATTAACAACTCCCAGGTCTGTTCCTCTCACATCACTCCAGTNATCCACAAAAGTCCATCAATCAATAACATGTTAAAAAAATCAGAAAAATGACCACCACCTCCTCTGCCCATTCTCCCTCGGCCTTGAGAACCGGTGACCACCCAAAGGTTTTCCGCCAAGACACAACATAAGCGACACACCGATTATCCCCACAATCGGCGCAACAAGAAAGAACCATCGATTATCCCTCGTCCCAACTTCAACATATCCCGAAGCCCCGTCCACATCACCACCATAACCCACACCGTGTGGGCCCACCACCTCACCTCCATCCCTCTTCCCCGCCTCGTAATCTCGGTCGTCGGTCGGGAGCTCGCGCCTGCACAGCGGGCACGTGCTCCTCGCGCTCAGCCACGGCAGAATGCACGGCGAGTGGAACACGTGACCACACGGCAGCCTGCTCGCAAAACTCCCCCCCACAAACGAGTCCTTGCAGATCGCGCAAACTTCACCGTCTTCCTCCTCAACCGCCACTCGCGGAATGCTCTCCACGAAAGACACAGAGGCCGGAGGGGGCGGCCCCCTCCTCAAACCCTCGGCCTCCGCCAGCCGCTCGAGCAGATTGGACGCCAGTATGGGGTCATCATCATCATCATCATCATACTCCGAGCTCCACTGATAAAGGCCGGCGTTCATCGGGTCGATATCTGTGTTGTCACTGTATGAAATATCATTCTCGTTTTCATTCTCATTCTCGATTGAACTCCAGCCATCGTCATCGTCGTCGTCATTGCTGTCCCAGGGACTGTAAGAAGAAGAGTATCTCCTGAGGAGGCTGACGTTCGAGTTCGACTCGCTCTCGGTATCCGAGACAATAATAGCCCTCCTCCTCGTCCTCCTCCTCCACCGGCGGGACCCGCTAGGTGTAGTGCGGGAACTGGTGGGGCCCACGGAGTTGGATTGGTTTTGCCTTGCGAGGTTGACGAGTTGTGAGAATTGTTGGGAGAACATGCTCTCGATGGAATCCGAGCTTCCGTGCCTTGTTCTGAGTCTTGCTTGGGGGTGCCGGCGGTGCGCGTCCGGGGAATGGGAGGTGGCAGCGTCGAGATTCTCGAGCAATGCGAATTTGCAGTCGCCGCATGCGCCGATGAAGTCGAGATCGGAATCGATGTTATCCGGCAAGAAAGCTCGGTGGCAAAAAGTACACGTGTCGATTGTGTGGATGTGTCGTCTTGGGAATTCGGGGAATTCTCTGAAATCGTTTTCGGAATCGGCATCCATGTATAACTAACTGCAAGACGGAAAAAAGTAAACTAAGAAAAATTAAAAAGGCACATGAGCTTTATGTAAAGACTCTAAAGAAGTACGTGGTTCTTGTTTAGGAGAAATATTATAGTATGCCAAAGGCAGTAAAAGGTACAACTGAAGTATAAGTACGTCGCCTTTGGAACTTCTATTACACTGTGTAGGTCTCCTCCGTAGCAACACCTCTAGCCATTGAGATTATTAAAAATTCGTAGAGTGAGCTAAACAAGCTTGTGAGTGGCGTGGAGAGGACAGATGTGAATAGTTAATCTTAAAGAAATAGCACGATTTTTTGCTTAGTTAGAGCAATCACACAAATGGTGCAAGAGTTTGATGAAACGGCCATTATACAGCTTACAAGCTAGTTATGTAAGATGCACATTGCAATCGTGAAGAAAATTTACGACAAAATCACACATCTCACAAGCTAATGTAAACAACAAAGCCTGGAAAATAATCACATGTATAGTGCAATTGAAGTTATATGATACACATATTCGTTTAATAAATAAGTATTAGTTCGATTAAAAAAGAAAAAACAGTGATTTCTGTTCAACTACTAAACATCATTATATCAAGGATTTCTTGAAAGTTTCAAGTCACCTCATTTTTTCCGGAAAACATTCTTTGCAACTTGTACTATATATTTTTTGGACTTCGCAACTCATAGTATCTTCGTAAAATGTAAAATGAACTTCATAAACATTCATAATTTGCAATCTCCCCTGCATCTTGACCATACATGTGTCCATTTTTCTTATGATTGTATTGTCATGATAAGGTGAGGTTTGCAAGTATGAATGCTCAAGAATAAATTTAACAAGAAAAACACTATAAGTTGCCAAGTCCAAATATATGTTGCAAATTATGAATATTAACAAAGTTCAAGTTGCATTTTACCATAAAAATGTCATAGGTTGCAAAAATTGTTATATCCTTTTTTTTTAATGGGAAGAAATTGGTGTTACTCATCTCAACACCTCAGTTGCAGCCTTAATAATAAGCTACATTTTATAGAAAATAATAGAAAAACAGAGAAATCGCATGAAGACAAGATCTCGTACAATTATTCATCAACAATCAGCTTACAAGAAGAAATCGAACTGGTCCACAAAATNTATTATATTTCTCCTCCAAATCCCTCTAGTTTTGGAGGGGAGTAAAAGATAAGATGAAATAATGAAGATGAAATAATCCGGTAAAGATAAGAAAACCGATGGGGGAAGATAGGGAAAGTCAAGCCAGGTGGGTGGGACTGAGTTAACTCGCCGTGTGCAGCAATTGGTGGGCGCGTCCAAATGCGTATAAAAACTGTGTAAGGTCTCAACATAGGGAGATTTAGAATTGTTAAAAAAAACGAACGTTCATGGGCTCGGCTCAACAAGTTAAGGTTTGAGTTCGGTTTGACTCGACTCGATAAGTCCCCAAGAGAGAATTTCTATATAATTCTTTATAGTGCAGTTCGTTAAATCTCAAGATCGTCTCGTTAAGGTTCGAAATTAGTTCATTAATATTGATAACGAGCTAAGTCGGGCTCGACTCGTTAGAGTTCAAGCTCGAGTCAACTCGTTTACAGTTATAGGAGACAGTGGTAGTCAATCTCAAAACTTAACAAAATATTTGGGAAATTAAATTACACAATTATTATTGAATGTTTGATTTTCTTCAAACTAGTAATTGCCCGTGCAATGCACGGGATGATATATTTCTAAATATTTTTTAATATTAAATATTAAATTTAATGAACTTGTTATATTTGTAACAAAAGTAAAACGTTGGGCACAAACTACAAAATTCATAATTTATTGAAAACTATTTTGTACACAACGTTTTTTGTTGATTTGGCGGCGAGTCATCGTCTCCACAAACTAAAATTTTCAATTAATTTTGAATTTGGAGATTGCATCGCATGGGTACCGTATGTACTTGTTATATTCGTGGAAGATTGCATCGCACGGGTACCGTATGTATTTATTGATTGTATATATTAATTTATATCTTATAATATGGTATTTTACCAAATTTTAGTTAATTTATAGTACAAGTAAAAAAAATTAAAATCTATATATGAAAGATTCCATACTTAAATGTATTAATATTGTACGTAAATATTAATTGCAATATCTTCTACATATATTAGGAAATAATAAAACTGGTTGATTACGCAGTTAAAAATTATGGAATGCATAACAAACTCTATAAACGTGTATATTAATTGCAATTTATCCTACATATATTAGGAAATAACATAACTGGTTTACTATTGCCTTCAACATTTGAGTATTAATTTATTAATTTATCTATCTATACTTATATAATAAGGGGTACCATTTACGAAATTTAGTAAGTTGAAAAGTCAATGCAATAAATACATTACTATTTTGAGCAATATAATATAATATCATATCTATACCTATATAAAAGGAGATTCTATTTACTACATTTACTATCCAGAAAAGTCAACTGCATTAAATGTCATTACTATTTTGGTATTATAATATTTTATTTATTTAATTGATTTATTTATTTAATTTATTTTAAAAAGGTAAGTATAATAAAAAAAAATTAATAATAAAAAAATCAAATACCAAATAAAAATGTACACTTTGACTTATTTGATTATATTTGGTATTTGATTATACCAAATATATTCCTATTTAGTATATACATTAAATACTTACTAAAGTATTTATTTGTTTTATCTGTCAAAGTTAAGTATAGATTTGTTTATATTATCAAATCATAAAAAATATTAAATCCATATTGTAAAAAAAAAAATCATATAATTTTATAACAATTCTACTACACTATTTAACAATATTCTTTTTTTATTATGTAATAAAATAATAATTAAATATTATATGGTGAACAACAATAAGTAAAACTGTTACTTTCTCTTATATCAAGGGATAAATTTATATGCTAAAATTAAATTTTTATTAGTATAAATGTTTTAGTGAGATAATATATTAATTATTTTACAAGCTAGCCCTAACATGCTCATATTTAATGTTTTAAAAGATGTAGAAAAAAAACTTATAATAACTCTATTGTTTTTTAGACTTAAACGTTGATTAAAAGAGGTAAAAATTCCTAATTTTTTAGACTTAAACGTTGATTAACACCATAGATTGAGAGTTTATATTTAGTAAAATTCCTAATTGTAATAAAAAAATTAATTTTTGCTATATTTTAGAATATCTTTAAATTCATTATAAAAAAAAAAAAAAAAAAAAAAACTACAATGAAAAAAGCAAGTCAGCTATATATCGATTTGTTGTACTCCTCAAATCACATTCACAATTTGGCTAAAAGGAAAGGAAACTCATTGATTAAAATATTATTTTGTCAGTAGTCTTAATGTACAAGAGACTTTAAGACTCCACTTGAATATTATAAAACTTTTATTGAACATTGTACAATTTTCTTGCGTATTATAAACTTTTATTGAATATTGCATCTTATAATATAATATTCTCCAAATAAATATATCCCGTGCTTCGCACGGGTCACGTACTATATATATCCCGTACATTTTTATTTATTCATGTATATAATTATAAACCTGGATAAATAGCCTTAAAATTGTGCACCCCGTGCATCGCACGGGCTCTGTACTAGTATCTTATAATATGGTATTCTACCAAAATTTAGTTAATTAATTTATATTAGAAGTGAAACAAAAAATTTAAAATCTATATATGAAAGATTCCATACTTAAATGTATTAATATCGTACGTAAATATTAATTGCAATATCTCCTACATATATTATATCTATAATAAAACCGGTTGATCAAATATACTTAAAAATAATGAATGCATCGTCTCTCTTTAAACGTGTATATCTCCTACGCGTTGAAAATAATAATATATTGCAAAAGATAAAGATTGCATCTAATTTCATTTTGGGATAAGATGTATATTAAATTTATATGTGTTTTATATTATATTAAATAGGTTTCTATACATTAATATAAGGAAACAATATAACCAATTGAGGTAATTTATATTATTCAGTTATTTTTGTACGTAAATACAAAATGCCATATTTCATATTTGAAAGATTTGCAGTCAATCCCTAATAATTTTGTAAGTAGATACTTTCAGATGTTTTAAGCAAGTTCCATAAATATTTAATCGAATTCGTTGACCCGTCTATTTCAACCTTATCTTTGCGTTTAACATTTTAAGTATTAATGTATATCTTATATCATGGTATTCTACCAAATTTTATTTAATATATATTAGAAGTAAAAAAAGATTATTAAAATTATAATTTATGTACAGCTTTGAATAATAACAATCAATATATGCAACGACATTAAATATAATAGCAATAAAATTAATCATAGAGTTCAGAATTTTCAACGACATGGAATAACAATAAATATCACAAAATACTAAGAAAGGCGTGCAGAAAAAGCAGAGTAAATTGAACAAATATACTTACATCAATATTTTTTAACGGCTTCTAATCTTCTCGGTCTCTAGCCACTCATTAGATGTGAGGAAAATTCCCTTCGTATTTGAACAAATGAGTCCTTCTATTCAGTGCATTGTACCTCCCGCGATTGAATTCAACATCATAGTTGCGGAGACATATACCTGTCCGTCTTTAAATACTTCTCGAAATTTTGCCATATGCGCACAACGTATAATGCCAACAATATAAATAATTAACGTAAGTATAGAAGTTTTATGTAACAATTCACCATATTACCTCTTGGTCATGAAAGACGATCTCCATGAAATTCCTGCACTCCATGTCGAATTGCCTCTCAAAAATTCGGATTACTCTCAGTTTCAAATAAGGTTTGTTGCTACGATTGACTTTGTCGAGTGTATCTCAGACCGGTGCCATTTTTTTTTTCTCTGTCTTTTTTTCGGTGCATTTTTTTTTTCTCTATATTTTTTTCCTCTGTATTTCGATGTGTTTTATTCTCTGAATTTTGAAACTTGTATGAGTTGGAGAAG